ATATATAACCACGAAGACACTGGGACTCATTACACATTACACATGTTTATTCTTAGTCATGGCTGCAGTCATGTACATGCAGTATATCAGCTGGCTGATACTACATCCTCTGACTAATCACAATGGCTAAACTGACTGGTGGGGGCTTCACCAGTAGATATGTAGCTATAGGTAGCAATAGTAACAGTAACTAGTTTCGCGCGGCTTGCGCTCATCAGACTGATTGCTTGGGGGCGTGTGCGTCCTTAAATACCTGAATAAACCGACGAAGTTGTTTATTCCATGATGTGTAAGCCTGTCATTGGTTGTTTTATGACGGCTAAGTGGTGTGTTATAGTGACACGCCGTTAGTAGGTCGCCGGTGATGTGGCGTAAAATGTAGTCGCCGGTATTGGCGATTAGCGTGTGCTACCGCGACTTATAATGGTCGCCGGTGGTGGCCTTGTAACTGTGTAAAGTGTAAATAGACCGGTGGGTCGCCGGTGTAAGTATGATTGTGGTACCAAATTGATGTTTTTTGGTCGCCGGTGTTACATCCTTGCATATTGCAGGCGGCCACCTCGACACAGAACCGTGGGAGGTGTTCCCTCAACAGAACCGGGAACACCTAAAAAAACCAAGCCGGTAACATAGCCGCCCAACTTGATACCACTTTCAGGGAACTCCAACCCGGAGCCACCCATACGGACATTATTAACACCAGTGACCAGCTTACTCAACAACAAGTTTGATACTTACCAAGTGTGCCCCACCGATGTCCTTCTTCCTAAACTCGGGACCTCTTCTCAAACCGGCGACCACTTACGACGGCCACAAGCGACCCACCCAGGCCACCTTCATTTACCCGGCAATAACACAGGCGACCAAAAAACATCAATTTGGTACCACAATCATACTTACACCGGCGACCCACCGGTCTATATACACTTTACACAGTTACAAGGCCACCACCGGCGACCATTATAAGTCGCGGTTGCACACACTAATCGCCAATACCGGCGAATACATTTTACGCCACATCACCGGCGACCTACTAACGGCGTGTCACTATAACACACCACTAAGCCGTCATAAAACAACCAATGACAGGCTTACACATCATGGAATAAACAACTTCGTCGGTTTATTCAGGTATTTAAGGACGCACACGCCCCCAAGCAATCAGTCTGATGAGCGCAAGCCGCGCGAAACTAGTTACTATTACTATTGCTACCTATAGCTACATTTCTACTGGTGAAGCCCCCACCAGTCAGTTTATCTATTTATCTCTGTCCATCTCGAATTTCGAGAGCTCTACTTCCATTACCACGGAAATAGAAGTTGATGTCCATCTAGACCAAGATGGAGGCAATCCTTCAAAAAAGAAACGGATCACATTCGGTAACATCCCCGCCAACACCGGCGTTGAGACCAAAGCAGTGTCTTTACCACCGGATCTTATGCAATCATACAAAGATCTTCGTAACGCAGTCAGCAAACGTGCACGCACCCAAGTACAGTCACAATACTTAGGCGCCTGTATCACAGGTGGACTGGTACCAGACCAGGTTTTCATCATACCACCGGCTACACAAACCATGTACCCCATGGATCTCGCCCTACAGCGCAGCAATGCTGTTAAGACTTGCTGTACCACACTTATGAGTACACAAAAAGAACTTTTAGAACGCCAGCTTGCTTCCGTTAACGATTCAGTTAAACTGTTGGAAGATAAAATTATCTCCAAAGCGGATCAACACTCTCAAAACATCATCAACACTGCTTGTCAAGCAGTCAAAGACAGAGAGCACAAGTCCACACATGAAAAATTCAACACCAGATTTGTTAGCCTACAACAGACGGCCATCAAATCTGACCCCTTCGCCGCCAAACTATACGTGCAAGGGACCCCGACCCAGAAACGGGCCAAATCTCCCAAGTTTCGCCGCTCGAGACAACCATCACGTGATCGAGCTCGTGGAATACGCAGACCACGACAGAACTTCTGCCCCGACAGGGGCAATCAAGGAAACAATTCGCGGGACCTCAAACGGGCCCTAGAGCTGTTGTCGAAGCACCTCAACTTCAACAACAACAGTTTGTGCAATAAACTTTCTAATCTGGATCTGAACAATAACTCAGATAATAAAACTGGTGAATCTTATCAGGACAACTTTGTTATCAATCTTTCCGATTATGACCTTAATCCATCTGAATTAGAGGTTCTCAACAAGGGACTCACTTTTAGCCCCACCCCCAGATTTACTGACAAAAGTAAAACCTTTTCCGACCTGAAACAATTTTTCAGGAAATTACGTCTCACTCATTTCTTCCATGACTCTACCATTGATGGCACTTCACACCCGCTCCAAAACACACTGGATCGCAAATTCGGTCCCAAAAGCACTTGGACCACTAGACCTTATACCGACCCAACACTAGAGTCGTTTATCAAAGCAGTCTCCAATGATTTTTACAAACTTGGTAATATAAAATTCAGACGCCAAAATATCACCGGAGCGCACAGAACTGCACTAAAACAGCTCAAATTTAATAGTGAAATCATCATTAAAAAAGCTGATAAAGGTTCGGCAGTAGTAATACAGAACACTACTGATTACATCAAAGAGGCAGAAAGGCAGCTCTCTGACACTAAGTTCTACGTCAAATCAGACTATGACCTCACAGAAAGATTTTCTGAAATCGTTGCCAAGGAACTAACTAATCTGTTCCTCAAAGAAGAACTATCACACAAATGTTTTACGGGACTTTTACCGCAAAACGCAAAAGCAGGAAGATTTTACCTGCTCCCCAAAATACACAAATGTTTATTACCAGGAAAAAATACCAGGCCGTCCCATCATCAGTGGGAATGGCACACCTACTGAAAACATCAGTAGCTTTGTAGACGAACACATCAAAGCATTTGTCAGCAGATATCCCAGTTACCTCAGGGATACAACACACTTCATACAGAGATTAGAATCACTCAATCTCCCCAACAACCGAGACATCATGCTTGTTACTATGGATGTCACCTCGCTGTACACCAACATTCCAAACGGCGAAGGCCTTAGAGCCGTTGCACAAGCCATTCGTAAGTTTAAACCAGACTGGCAAATTTCGCCCACCGGTTTACTCTCTCTCCTAAAAATCGTTTTACACAACAACAATTTTGTGTTCAATAACCAACATTATCTACAAGTTGGAGGCACAGCTATGGGGACGAAAGTCGCCCTGTCCTATGCCAACATTTTTATGGGAGAATTGGAAACTCAACTCCTATCTGGGCATCTCGATAAGCCGGACTTCTACGCCCGATTTATTGACGACATTTTCATTATTTGGACGCTAGGGGAAACCCGCCTAGCTGCATTTATTAACTTTCTTAATAATGCACACCATTCCATTAAATTCATCGCAGAATTTTCCAGGAATAAAGTGGCCTTCTTGGACACGTGGGTTTCTTACAACAAACAGGAATGCAAACTGCAGTTCACTTTATATAACAAACCCACGGACACACACTCCTATCTGTTGTACACGTCTTGTCACCCCAGTCATATCAAAACGAAAGGGCCATTTAGCCAATTCCTGAGACTCAAGAGAATCTGCTCCTCTGAATCAGACTATGACACACATAGTAGAAATCTTATCAACTACTACCTCAAAAGGGGTTACCCTAATAAAACACTACAACAAAATAAATACCAGGCAGACGCTAGCAAAAGAGAATCACTCTTAGCAACCAAACCCAAACCTGCTCCAATCAGGAAACAGGTGCTTATTAGCGATTACAATCCATTGAACATGGAGCTCAACAGGATCATCAGAAACCGGTGGCATCTACTCACCGGTTCTGACACTTGCAAAAGTTGCTTCTCAATTCCCCATGTCTCGGCCTACAGAAGGAATCCTACCATAAAGGATTACCTAGTTAGGACAGTACTACACTACCCACCCACCAAACCGCAAATTAGCGGCAAGGTAGTCAACTTCGTTAATGAGAGTTGCAAAAGAGAAGGATGCAAAATCTGCAACTCCTTAGGCAGAACTCATACGTTTCGCAGCTCAACATTAGGTAAAACATTCAAAACCCACAAGTTTGAATGTATAAGTAAAAACATAGTTTACTTGCTAACTTGCAACAAATGCAAGAAACAATACGTTGGAGAATCCAAAAGAGAATTTCAGACTAGACTGAAAGAACACTTTGCAGACATCAGCTACAAGAGAGACAAACCTGTAGCTAATCACTTCAATAGTGATGATCACAGCACCAAAGATGTTAGATATAACATCATAGCACAGCTCAAGGAAAACCCTGAGTCTACTGACACCACAGTTAAGAGGAGAGCACTCCAACTGAGGTGGATATTTGAGCTAAAAACCGTTCCACCCGCACGGTCTCAATGACAGAATGGTTGGCTGATTAATTCCCCCTATGGTCAACTTGCTAATCACAATGGCAATAAACCACAATGGCAGAGAGTGCAGATCGCAGTGCATAAAGTAGGTTATCATCAGCAACATCAAGCCATCTACACAAAATTTCAGCTTGACCATTGTAATTTTCTTATATGTTTCAATTTATTTTACAAAAACAAATCTAATCTTGATCTAAATGCTATGAACAATTCTGAGTCACATAATGGTGCTGGAAAATTTGCCTAAATTTTCAGGCTCATTTGGCCTTTTCAAAGAAGAAGTTGAGACTTACTGGATGGACATAGCGACCACAGACAACATGTCATATGCTGCCTTGAACCTGTGATCCTGGTGACCTGACAGGGAACTAAAAAGCATTTTATCTCCACTGAATTTCTCCGAATACTTGCAACATACAATCAAGGTCATACACGGGTAAACAATTATATACAAACAATAAATAAAGTTTCACACAACAACATCCTCGACCATGCAGGCCCTTCCTCTCATCTATACAAAATGTTAATACATGTATAATCAGATTTGTTTCAGATTTGTGATGTCATGAACAAAACTCCACAGAAAACACTTACTTTTCAGCAGGCTCTGGTAAAGCATCCATGTATTTTTCTTGTACATAGACGTGACACGTAGAACAGGCTAGAGATGCCTCACACGCTCCTGAAACACATCCATCAACAGACAGTGTGACACAAACATGTTTAGCTCACTCCCCACACTCCTGGAACACATCCATCAACAGGTAGTGTGTTTACCTCACTACCCACACTCCTGAAACAATCCATCAACAGATAGTGTGTTAACCTCACTCCCAACACTCCTGAAACACATCCATCAACAGATAGTGTGTTTACCTCACTCCTGAAACACAGCCATCAACAGATAGTGTGTTTACCTCACTCCCCACACTCCTGAAACACATTCATCAACAGGTAGTGTGTTTACCTCACTCCGCACACTCCTGAAACATATCCATCAACAGATAGTGTGTTTACCTTACTCCCCACACTCCTAAAACAATCCATCAACAGATAGTGTGTTTACCTCACTCCCTACACTCCTGAAACACATCCATCAACAGATAGTGTGTTTACCTTACTCCCCACACTCCTGAAACACATCCATCAACAGATAGTGTGTTTACCTCACTCCCCACACTCCTGAAACACATTCATCAACAGGTAGTGTGTTTACCTCACTCCGCACACTCCTGAAACATATCCATCAACAGATAGTGTGTTTACCTTACTCCCCACACTCCTGAAACAATCCATCAACAGGTAGTGTGTTTACCTCACTCCCCACACTCCTGAAACACAGCCCTCAACAGATAGCGTGTTTACCACACTCCTGAAACACAACCATCAACAGGTAGTGTGTTTACCTCACTCCCCACACTCCTGAAACACAGCCCTCAACAGATAGCGTGTTTACCACACTCCTGAAACACATCCATCAACAGATAGTGTGTTTACCACACTCCTGAAACACATCCATCAACAGATAGTGTGTTTACCTCACTCCCCACACTCCTGAAACACATCCATCAACAGGTAGTGTGTTTACCTCACTCCCCACACTCCTGAAACACATCCATCAACAGATAGTGTGTTTACCTCACTCCCCACACTCCTGAAACAATCCATCAACAGATAGTGTGTTAACCTCACTCCCCACACTCCTGAAACACATCCATCAACAGGTAGTGTGTTTACCTTACTCCCCACACTCCTGAAACACATCCATCAACAGATAGTGTGTTTACCTCACTCCCCACACTCCTGAAACACATCCATCAACAGATAGTGTGTTTACCTCACTCCCCACACTCCTGAAACCGGCCATCAACAGGTAGTGTGTTTTCCTCACTCCCCACACTCCTGAAACACATCCATCAACAGATAGGTTGTTTACCTTACTCCCCACACTCCTGAAACACATCCATCAACAGATAGTGTGTTTACCTCACTCCTGAAACACAGCCATCAACAGGTAGTGTGTTTACCTCACTCCTGAAACACATCCATCAACAGGTAGTGTGTTTTCCTCACTCCCCACACTCCTGAAACACATCCATCAACAGATAGTGTGTTTACCTCACTCCTGAAACACATCCATCAACAGATAGTGTGTTTACCACACTCCTGAAACACAGCCATCAACAGATAGTGTGTTTACCTCACTCCCAACACTCCTGAAACACATCCATCAACAGATAGTGTGTTTACCTTACTCCCCACACTCCTGAAACACATCCATCAACAGATAGTGTGTTTACCACACTCCTGAAACACAGCCATCAACAGATAGTGTGTTTACCTCACTCCCCACACTCCTGAAACAATCCATCAACAGATAGTGTGTTTACCACACTCCCCACACTCCTGAAACACATCCATCAACAGATAGTGTGTTTACCTCACTCCCCACACTCCTGAAACACATTCATCAACAGGTAGTGTGTTTACCTCACTCCCCACACTCCTGAAACACATCCATCAACAGATAGTGTGTTTACCTCACTCCCCACACTCCTGAAACAATCCATCAACAGATAGTGTGTTTACCTCACTCCGCACACTCCTGAAACACATTCATGAAGAGGTAGTGTGTTTACCTCACTCCCCACACTCCTGAAACACATCCATCAACAGGTAGTGTGTTTACCTCACTCCCTACACTCCTGAAACTCATCCATCAACAGGTAGTGTGTTTACCTCACTCCCCACACTCCTGAAACACATCCATCTACAGATAGTGTGTTAACTTCAATCCCCACACTCCTGAAAGAATCCATCAACAGATAGTGTGTTTACCTCACTCCTGAAACACATCCATCAACAGATAGTGTGTTTACCACACTCCTGAAACACAGCCATCAACAGGTAGTGTGTTTACCTCACTCCCCACACTCCTGAAACAATCCATCAACAGATAGTGTGTTTACCTCACTCCCCACACTCCTGAAACACAGCCATCAACAGATAGTGTGACACAAACATAACTAGAGTTTTCAGCTGTAAGTTATTTCATGACATAACTGAAATACTAGTAAAAGTGGCAATTACTTACTCACATGCTTTTTGGATTATCTGATTAATGAGAGAATTCTTACCTTCAATCTCTATTTCATATCTATGTGCTAAGTACATGGCATTGTCTCCAACCTTTCCTCGTACAGGAACCCTTTTCCCGGACTTGTCTATATACACGACATTCACTCTGAAAACAAGACAAATCCCATAGACAGTACTATTTTCACTTGAAGATTGGCCTGTATATACACTAACAATTACAACTGGGCCACAATAAGAAAAGCCTTTTTGTTTCGGCGACTCGCCTAACCCTTCAAAGAACTCTAACTGAAAAGAAACTTCACCAGCTTTGATTTTATTTTTTCTTATCAGTTAATTAGACAGTCCACAACTTTAAACACAACCTAAATGCAAACATATCTTGTCCTAGCAAATCCCTGACATGCACCACATGCCACAGTGACACCACATCTGTATCCCTACACCTCTCAATTCACCACCATCATCATGTCAGGAGCAGGAGACAAGGGCTGGGACAGGCAACTCGGGTACTCCGGTCGGGTGGGTACTGAGTAGGACCAGTGTACCCACAGGACTACCCAGACCCATGGTTAGTAATGTGATATATTGTTTTATGACAAAAATTCATGGTAATACTACAAGTTACTCATGCTCGCATTTCATTCAGACTTGTATATTTTTGACAGGTTCCGGTAAAATTCTTAATTGGACATCATGTACCCATCCTTTGAGACCTATAGTGGGTACCCAGGTAGGGTCGAGTAATTGGGGGTTGGGTACCCGGGTAGTAAATTTGGACTCATCCCACCCCTACAGGGGACTATTCTTCTCTGCTACAAAACAGTTCTGTTGTAATATGTGACAGATTTGACAAGATGATGAAGTTGTTTGTCTGTTGTTTAACGCCCACTCAGCAATATTCCAGCTATATGGCGGCGGTCTGTAAATAATTCAGTCTGGACCAGACATCCAAGTGATTTACATCATGAGCATCGATCCACGCAATTGGGATGCAATGACATGCACCAACCAAGTCAGTAAGTCTGACCACCTGATCCTGTTAGTCGCCTCTTAGGACAAGCAAAGTCGCCTTTTATGGCAAGCATGGGCTGCTGAAGACCTATTCTACCCCGGATCTTCACAGGTCCTGATGATGAAGTAGGACATTTGATGCCTTCTTATTATATATATCTTAACTGACTGAACACAATAACATCAGCAAACCTGGAAACACATGACATTGTATATACAATGACATAACAATGTTTTACAAAAACCTAAATGCTGACCTTGACCATTGACTAATCTTAACCAAAACCTTTTCAAACCAGGACTGCATGAACACTTTTTGAGAAAGTGTAACAATAAATGTTTTGGAGAGGTTTTCTATCTTATCAGGGTTAGGAACTAACAGTTTTTGTCCACTAGTCCTTATGATGATAACATATAGCAAAACCCTTTAAATTTTTTGCCAATTTCTACTAGTCCTTAGGATACCTTTACTATTGGGCATTTGGTAAGGACTACAGGACTAGTGCCAATTTCTAACGCTGCTTATGACCTTGACCTTTGACAATTTTTACATATGCCAAAAGAAAAAGTATATCAAAGAAGAATGATATCCACTGTCAGTAATCCACATGCTGTAGACATTTGAAATATCAACGGTGGCGGTGGTCAACTTCTGAAAACACCATTCCAAAGGGGCTCAAATAATATTCGAAAATAGCCATTTAACTTGAAACCAACAGAGACCAAAGAATTTGATCTAGGATATTAGTGTTTCTCAAACATGAAGAAGATCATCAACATTGAACTGAATTGAGTTTGTTCTTTTTCTGATTTTTGGTAACAGAACATTAACAGGATATGGAATTCTGAAATTTCCTTACAAAGCGAAAGTAGACATGACATTGCTTTATTAATAAAATTTTGGTTAAATTATTGATAAGTTATAGAATGTTTACCAATTCTAAACTCAATATCAGAGTTATTTCACCTGTTTTAAAGAGACTAGCCCCTATGTTTACTTTCATATTTAAAATGTTTCAGTTTATTACTGTCAAATACTTCTGCAGTCTAAACAATAATTACACTTCATCTTCAGATCTGGGATCCTGCCATTCATATTCACCAGAACAGAGTGAACCTGAAAATGGAAAGAGACATGAGACATTCCAGTACTGCAGCTTCATAGGCCTTATCTTTTCACAAAAATAAGGAACAAAACTTATATAAGATGGAAAAAATAAACCAACTTTGACATTTATTTGAAATAAATTGAATAAATGAGACATTGATAAAAATGCATTGTAGTTTTGTGAAAATAAGGAAACAAGTGATATATTGTTATCATCGTTCCAATTTCCCCGTGAATCCATGTGTATATTTTGAGGCAACACGTCAGTGCCCTGTCTTAACATAACAAAAGGAGTGAGTGAGTGAGTGAGTGAGTGAGTGAGTGAGTGAGTGAGTGAGTGAGTGAGTGAGTGAGTTATAAATAAATAAATAAATAAATAAATAAATAAATAAATAAATAAATAAACAAACAAGAGTTTGCCACTAATGTGGCTATATCCCCCGCCCCTGTTACAGAATATTTGACATAATTATATCTAAACAAACCCTAATCTTTTTTAACCGAGGTGGAACTTGTCATGGAAATTGTAAAAAAAAGAAGAGTTTGGAACCTAAGTCCATCTTGTTGCCATGGAAACGTAAAAAATACAAATTTCTAAAATTTCTAAATAGCAAAAGGCACCAGTTCAGCATGTACCTGACAGACCTGCAAAGTTTGATGATAAAATATTAAACGGTCTATGAGTTATGCTCCGGAAACGAATCCTACTCTCACAGAACCTAAGTCCATCTTGTTGCCATGGAAACGTAAAAATTAAAAATTTCGAAAATTTCGAAATAGCAAAAGGCACCAGTTCAGCATGTACTTGACAGACTCATGACAAGTCTCATGACAAAATGTTTAACGGTTTCTGAGTTATGCTCCGGAAACAAAACGTGACGGACGGACGGACAGACGGACGGACGGAGCCCGTTTCTATATCCCCCTCCAACTTTGTTGGGCGGGGGATAATAAATAAATAAATACAATGTACTAGACTGAGTGGAGTGTAAGTGAATATTTCCTATAATCAAAGTGTCGAAAATAACTTTTTCAATATCTTTGCCGCTTGCAGAAATAAGAATGATTTGAAAATCCTTCATGCACTTATTACATACATCAAGTACCTTGTGTTTGTTGTATGAATCAATAGCTGGTCTTGGAATATGCAACTCATACAGTATCTCATACCAATATTAATATACAATTTTACTACCCGTGTAAAGAAGTAATAATGGTTCTTTTGCAAGATAGCATGTTACATACAACTGACATTTCTATTCTTATAAGAAATTACATTCTGAGTTCAGAATATCAGTGGTTGATTTTATTGAAACTAATATGGAAGTAAAAGACGTAAGTAAAATGTTGAAAATCAAGTAAAATGTCCCACATGTCGCCAGTCTTAGACCACTATGTCCATGCCTTAAGACCTCCAAAATGTATTACTGAGAGTCCCTTGGATTCAAAACTAGATAGATTCAGGTAAATCCCTGAATGTTCCAAAACATGTGATAAATAACTCATTACAGTTTCTTGCATAGGTAAGGTTTTAAGAAGGAATGTACCCAGAAATATGGACCCACTAGCATATGCATGTAGTTGGAACAGCAAACAAACAATCACCATGATCACAGGCTGGGCGACTGATTGTTTGGTTGGAGAGGATGAGAGGCTTGACTGTGAAAATAGTTCAAAATACTACTGGTAGACTCAATACTTCTTGATGCCAATAAAACCAAGGTTGTATTTCACACATTACCATCTGTTTTCATTTGATCAATACAAGAGACATTTATTATTAATGGATTATAAACTAACTCAAAATAAAACCTTTAAAATGAAGCACATGAAATTCCTGTATTTTTATGAATGAGGTAAAGAAACTTCAAAAATACAATATTGTATATCAAGTATCATAGCATCTAAAGGTTTTACAAACATTATTCATGATTATTGCATATTTCAATTCATGTGACCTTGACCTTTCTTAAAAGCCACCACAGTCTATCTACTTTTGACTTTTAAGATGCCATGTACGTCTTGTTAGGTGAATATTTGATAATAAAATCGCAAGTTGTTTGGGTAATAAGCTGCTCGTATGCCTGACTACTTAACCTACTCATGTTAATCTCTCTCTTGTATGCAATTGTTGTTACTGTTTATCCTGTTAAAACTGTTACTGTTAATAAAGAAGTCGTTATCCAAACAGATTCTCTACTTGGGTATTAGTTATCCTAGTCTAATATTAAAACATGTTTAATCCACAGTTTGCAATTGTCTTTTAATGACGTAATAAAAGATAAGTTTATGCAAAACAGGAAATAAGGCAATCCTTGCCAATGCATGTCTGTCAGGAACAACTGTGGAGTGAATACCTTGCACTGTCATGACTATATAAGTATTTTGATATTATGAAAACAGTTGGTTGGATACGAAACAGTTTCTGTAAGATGAGTCACCAGTTAAAGATTATTCAAACTGTGCAGTCCCTACTCCCTATCAATAGCCCTAGTTCACAACTAACCCTAACGTTCACTCTAGAGGTCACTTTGGGACGGGTTGTAACAGTGCCATGTTACATTCGATGTAGTGTTGATTGGCTCCTTGGAGACACAGGTCTGCATAAACCTACACCAGAGCAGGCAAACAATGTTCCAATACTGATGGTTTCAGTATCATAACTGAATCCAGTGGCAACGTTCAGGGGCCAGATGACCTACCAGTGTAAACACTAGAAATTTCAGATTTCCATAACTTTAAAATAACATTCGAAAGATAAAGGATCGTTGTTGTTGTTGTTGTTTTAAATATAGCAACAAGATGGCAACAACGATCACTATTGAGACTAAACTTTTTAAGATTACAAACATCATGAACATGGCATGTGCCTATATGTCTAAGACTATATATTCTCAGCGGGTAAGTATCACACCTTGCACACTTGTTTTGAAATATCGAAGATGTAACAATGGATTTCTCAATTTTCGTTCTGTATGTTTAAACTCTTTACTTCTTCGATACAACGATGGAATATTTTTAAAGCATCGTCTGCACAAAATCCTCATGGAGGCAGCCATGTTGGACACACAGATATGTAGCCGCCAAACGGAGAAAGAAAAATGGAAATTCACACATTTGTCCATTTCAATTTTTCGCCCGACTCTTTTATATTTACATGTTTGTTTCATGATCAATTTTAGGACTTTGTCATTTCTATTAATTCAATACGGAAATAATATCATAGCTCTACAATAAATCTAAAGCTGTCTTTAAATTTGTAGCCGCGTTCACTGAGCAGTCTACGAAACTGTTGCGACAGTAAACAGCTATTAGCTTTGCGTATTAGCATTCAGTACAATGTTGGTCGTCGAAGAAGTCGGAATGTAGTAAGAAATCTGGTAGGGAAATATGACGGCTTTGCAGCCAGTTTTCCCTTTGCAAGTCTGCAGACGACTTGAACGACTACTTTTACAGTTGCCCAAGATACGACGTTTGCGATAATACCAGCTTCTCGTGGAATATTCGCATTGATTACCCTTGCGACTTGGACACTGTTTTTCAACATGGCGCCCAGTAGTGCTAAACATTACAGAGGGGAGTCCCTTCCCCTGATTGTTCATGTTATTTTGTTATTCTATTTCATTGGTTTTTCTTATCAAGATGACCATAACTGGATAGGAAAATCGCCAGGTGGTTCAGGGAGAATAAAGCTGCGCAATTTTGATACAAAGCATCAACGGAGGACTGTTGAAATAACAGATGAAGGATATTTGACAGACAATAGACAGGAGACTGTCAGTCCCAAACAGTTGGGAGGAATTGTCATACAAGCTGAATCTGAAAAACTGTCAGCTGGTCTTCGTTGGCTAAGTAATGATGAAATTGGAATTACTAAGATGCAGGTAAGAAAGAGTGATGTGTTATCATGTGGGAGAAAGGGTTATAGCGAAAACGGCATCTCGCCAAAGGCAAAAACGACTACTATTGCCTGACTAAAACGGCACAATATTTTTGTTTTACCTTGGTACTGAAAATGAACTCACATGTTCACTGATACAGGAGGGCCAACTCAGAGCCTATCTGAGGAAGTCATCCATATCACGACTGGGCAAGTTTTTTGATGTGTGACAGAGATTTAAAAGATGGTGATCTCTCCCTGCTGACACAGTTACTTTTGTAAGTTAAAAAAGTGCTCTGTTGTTCATGGACCAGTGTTGTGAAATGCTATGAGACATTGAAGATTACAATGATATTTATGTAACGATACAAGACAATGATAAAGAATAACTGTGACTTAAGCTTATAAATATACGAATACATAAATTGTTCTCATCGTTAATAAAAATGGGTGCAGGCTAAATCGTCACCAATTTCTCTGGCGAAAACGGCTACTATGTGTCGGGCGAAAACGGCACCTCTATTTTTAATAAGGATAAGAACGATTTTTGTAGTAATATATACTGATATATGGTTTATTTACATGGTCACAGTTATCTCAGCATGTTGTTGTTTTCTGACATTCTTCTCTCATGCAACACATCGAAAGGCCATTGTGAATAATTGTGATCTGACAGCACCATGTTAGGCCTCTTAAATACAGTTTCAGTTTAAATTGAGTAAAGGTACTTAAAACTTCAAAGCGTATAGTGTTTTCACATTACGTTAACTGCGCCTCCAAATCAGTCGGCGAGGGTCTCATTAGCACTAATAGCACTTATTTCACCAAGGTAAAAAAAAAAATAAGGTCCGGTTTTGCCAGGCAATAGTAGCCGTTTTCGCTTGAGCCGAGGTGCCATTTCGCCAATCGGTGCCGTTTTTCGCTATAACCCATAAAAATAGATGTGCCGTTTCGCCCAACAATTATTAGGCCTTTTTGCCAAAAGTGGTGACATTTTGCTCACGTACCGTTTTAGCCTACACCCGGGGAGAAACTCCTTAGCATAGACATTGCCTCCTTTAAATATGGCGAATTACATAACCTACAGCCTGTTTTAAAAATTTAATTACCCAAATACACGTTTTTTAAATTTTTAATGTAAAACTGTAATATGATAGACTTTTCTAGTAATAAGCACAACAATTATATGTGTTTTCCGAGCTGAATTAGTAATCATTCAAAGACCAGAGTGATATTAGAGAGGTATTGCAGTCATGATATGATTCATCTGGTAATAGTACAGATAATAACAATAATTTGTACTGAAAATGATGTCAAGAGAAACGTTCAGACTTGTAGTCTCAAAAGTCTTTTGTACAGCTCATTGGTATTATTTATGCTCATAACATGGTTTACTGGTCACCATTTCAGCTTGTCCACTACTCAATTTTTGAACATATCAGTTTGACAGATGTTTTGGACAGTTTGTTTTCATTCTGATTGGAGGGGAAGGTGTTTCTGGCCCTTCTTTCTTTCCAAAGATAAGTGGTGTAGTTCTTATACAGTTTCAAAATAACCTTTGATCATGTTGATGAAAATACTTGTTCTGCGATGTAGTTATTTAGAACAATACTTTGTTATATTACATATAGTGTTTATCCTGATGTACTCTTTGATTATGTTTATGCATTGTTTTGTCAGAAATTAGGGTTTCAGATTGGTTCATATTTTCAGACATTGACCGATTGTCATTCAAATTGTTCTAAATAAACTTTTCAAAATTAGTAATGACATAAATGAACGTCCAATAACATCATGGAAGTGTTCTAGCTTGTCTTGATGACATTTATCTCCACCCAAACCCTTGGTACAAAAATTGAACCAGTACATAACACATCAGTAAGAGTAAATTTCAATGCATGTGCTAGAGAATAACTGACAAGTAATGTTTCTAATCAATTTATTATACTGGCCTTATGGGGTACATATCACTCAGACACACCCAGGACTTGTAATATTTGACATTCTCAATAGCCCTTTGAATACCCCAGCACATTCATGTGTTACTCTAAATACTTGGTAAGACTTCTGCCCATATCCCCCCCCCCCCCCAAATCATCCCAAACACACACACAAACACACACCCCCACCCCACCCCCACACCCCACCCCAAACACACACAGACACACACCCACCCAGCTTTATATTATTAAAAGGATTGAGAGTCAGTGCATAGGACATTTAACTTTTGGAGGGGGGATACGAGTGGAAGTCTTTCAAAATACTAATGTAGCATGTCCTTTATGATGTTGGGGCGGTTGGGGTAGCCTGGTGGGTCAAGTGTTCACCCGTCAAACCGAAGGCCCAGAGTTGGATTCCCCACTTGGGTATGCTGTGAGAAGCCCATTTCTTGACTTCATGTCGTGATATTGCTTGAATATTGCTAAAAGTGTTGTAAAAACATACTTACTATTTATGGTGTTTTGTGATTGAAAAAAACATCTCTAAACCGTCAAGTTGTTTTTGTGGGATAAATAAAATGGTAAAATCGATCAGCATTTGACTGGTCCTTATTAATTCCAATTTGTCTTAGGTTATTGGAATAAGCATTGGTGTTTTATAACCTGTGAATTATCATCCAACTTTATATCTGAGACAATATATGATAATTTAATCGATGTGTATCCATTTTTTGCCAAAATATGCACCCCGGTTGATTAGAAAATTGAAAGTCAAGGTGTGTGCACCACAAGTTAAATTTGTTTTCAGGGATCGATCAGTAGTGATAACAGTGCTTTTCTAGACAGTAGGGCTGTTTCGATTCACTCGTGTATTCGGTGAATCGAACCGTATTCATTCATGAATGGAATTTATTTGTAGCCACTAGAATCGAATATTTGTGAATATGCAATCATGTGCATTTACATACCCTGTACCTAAAAATATCCATAAAAGTTTATTCAAACATTAAATGCATAGATTTCTTCAAAAACAACACTCTTATAATTTTTAATTTGACAGTATTGTGGTCACTGGTCATTGTCGCATTTGAGCAGATACTTGTACCTGGATAAGTGCAGTATATTAATGTTTAATATATAAATAATTAACAAACCATGTCAAATAATTTATGTTATTGTTTCACTGAATATAACAAGTAATACATCAACTGCTGACTTGTAATTGTATTCGTGAATTAATATTCCTATTTGTTACCCTATATTCGTGATACAAATCATATTCGCCCCATAGTGTATTGGTTGCAGCCCTACTAGACAGTTGTATTCCCCTTCAGCACTGCTGTTTTCTTTAAAAAATATCTGAAATATACACAAGAATATTTTTGGTCCTAGTAGGTGATGATTATATAGATTACTTGCATATCGGTCTAGAAATTGGTCAGGGCGCTTTTTGGAACAGGACATTTAATTTGGCAAATATGGTAAGTGTACTTGAATATAGCTTTTGGTCAGTCTGTATCATGTGTACATAACTTCATATTGGCATGTGTAGTTTCTGTCATAGTTTGAGTACTGTGTTCAACTTCATTGAGCAAGCAGCTCGAATCATCATCATATTGGGAATACTTTAACAGCAATCTATCACTAGTGTGAAGCTTCACATCCAAGAATCATAGTCGAAAAGTGGAATTGTGAAACATGCAACATTATATAACATTAACAAGTGATGGCTTCCCATTTACGTCAGGTCATATATACAGTGGTCCCTCGCTACAACGTTACCAATGGGGTCCAAATAATTGGTGGGCGTTATAGACGATGAGCCCTTTAACCGAGGCCGAGGTGGGGGAGCAGGCTCGGCCAATCTCACGATCTTTGCCTTGTCTCGCACATTGCAGTGATACAAGTTGTTTACCGTTCATAGTGTAAAAATATATCCATTATGTTTTCGCCGTTTGTTATTATTTACATGCCTTAACTGTCACATTCAATGTGAATGTAGTCTACTTACATGAAAATATCGATCGATAATGGTAGTAACAGACGCTATGAGTGAAGAGCCAATCACAATTCATTACACAAGTACAGAGTGATTCAGTGGCATTGATTGGTCATTTTGCTTAAAATACGGAAAACGAGAGTTTTGACCAGCACTATGTGCATTCATACACATTCATGCAAATATAGATACACATTCAAGCCAGATTAATTGGTTTGATAGGGTTACTTGATCTGAATCAAAAAGAATGACCGCCGTGTTGTGACAGCAACTACATGTGAGTTGACAGTGTCGCCTCAAATTGGATTGCCCACTAATTAAGAAAATAAACTTCTTTTGTGGTTCTCTTTTATATCATGCATGCGCTTCTAAGATCAAAGGATGTATAGTGTGAAAAGTTAACTAGTAGAACAATCGTATTTCCGGGACTTGCCGTGGATGTTTTCAAACAGATTATATTAGAACTCCATTCAGCGATAAACGGTTGACTATGCAATGAGAAGCGTTATGTGCAAATGAACAACGAACAACAATACAATCACGGCTGTGTAAAACTCTCAGTATTAAAGGTGTACATAAATTTTGGGAGCCATGCGATACCGCGCGTAGTAACCGAGGTAGCGCTTTATCGAAGAGCCCAATAGCGAGGGATCACTGTATCATGAGAGCAGTGCAGCAAACTTATTTAAACTGATGTCACTACATTGTGATCTCATTGTGTGATGACTTTAAGTTAAATGGGATATTGCTGGACTAGGTAATAAAAGGAAGTATATAAATGTGCATGTTTTCATCAATTTTCTAAAAACATAGCATGTTCAGATATAGAAATCATTCAGTGCATCATACATGTCATAGTATATCACTGGTTTGTTTCTGATAACTCTTTATATATGGAACATACTTGGCAAGCTATTGTTTGATATTGTCCAACCAGTGATCATGAAATGGAAACATTGTGAAAGTACACACTTTTTATAAGTTGCAATTAAAACATTACTGCTTTGAAGTTTTCTGATGACATTCATACAAATGATGGAATCATTTGTGCTTTGCAAGTGAAGT